AATATATTGTTCCTTGCAGAAAGACTCATTGTTTTTGCTACTAACACTGAGATGTTGGAGCATGCATCTCTAGTCTGTATGTATCTGATTATTACTAGTCATAGTTGGTTGCACTTGGATCCTTGGGGCCTGTGTATGTCTATAAAGTCATAGGATAGGTTTCAATGGTAATGTTTATCACGTCTATGAATTAACATGATGTAAATTTTCATGCTTCCTCCTCAAATATAACACATTTTTTAAATCGTTGATTTTTTTTTCTTATATGTGTGTATATCACACAGCACATCCCAAACCATCTCATTCAACTATACACCCACTTCCGAGATAGCACCCTCCAAATAGCCTCCCTCCCCCCACTAGAGCCCGTATACTCTATCCTTGCTACTGTCTGCTGTGTTGTCAGTACCCCAGCCAATCCCCACTACTTGCCCTCTGGTGAATCTAGTCAGCCTGTCTAGAGGTCTTTGCTTTAGGGGGGTCAGCTCTTCCTCATCTAGCAGTAATCAGTTGTCAATATTTGTTTAGATAAGATTGGGATCTGCTGTTCATTTTCCCAGTTCTATGCTGGGTTACTATCTGGGAGTAAGGTATCACCTGTTTGGCATTGTTCCTTGTTATATAGCCTTTAGCTATGCATATGGACTCGTAAGAAATTATATTGGCCCCTTTAACCTTTGGTTATACTTTTCTTTTGGGTGTTTAAGGCCATACAGTTGGTCCAGATAAACCAATTTATTTTTACTCTTAAGGTCGTTTGAGGATCTGTTCCTCGGGGGTCACATGGGCTTGAGAGGAGCCCCTGGTTCCTCTCTTTTACCAGTTCAGCCTATGTGAAGATAAGTCAAAGGTCCTGCTCGACCATGGTTGGCTTCGCTTGGAAGCATAGAGGAAATGATTTCTCTGTGTTGACCCTCCTCTTTGTAGACTGGACACTGGTTCAAGTCCATCTGGTAGGGTCTCCTCAGCCTCCTTGATCAAGAGGACAGGTGACCCACCACCGTTATAGGACAAAATATTTTATTATTTTTACTTTATGTGTATGAGTATATTACCTGCATGTATGTAAGTGCATCCGTGTTGTGCAGTGCCCACGGAGGTCAGAAGAGGATGTCAGATTCCTGGAATTGGAGTTACAGATGGTTGTTAACTGCCATATGGGTGCTGAGAACCGAACTCAGATCTTCTGCAAGAATGGCCAATGCTCATAACTGCTGAGCAGATTATCTCTTCAGCCCCTAAGATGTACTTTTAAGACGTTCTGCATTCCATGGGCTAGAGAGATGGCTCAGCAGTTAAGAGCACTGACTGTTCTTGCAGAAGACCTGACCAGTTCCAGGGGATCTGATGTCCTCTTCTGTCCTCCATGACATGACATGGGTGCGCTTAAACACATGCAGGCACAACTCACATACACATAAAATGTAAAAAGAAATAAAAAAATAAATTTTTTTAATCTTTTTGAGACAGGGTCTCTCTGTAGCCCCAGCTGTCCTGGAACTCACTATGTAGACCAGGCTGGCCTTGAGCTCACAGAGATCTGCCTGCCTCTGCCTCCCAGTGCTGGGATTAAAGGCATGCACCACCACACCTGGCCCAAATGTGAGCCTCATGGTGTGGACAGTGTCATCATCTGTCAGCCAAGTTCTGGGGCTTCCTCAGTCATTTATATGGCGGTTATAACTTCTGTACAGGTAACAATAGACTCTATTGGGCTCCTTCTTGCACCTGATACACAATGAAAAATACATTCACGAGTAATAGCGCCGTTTACTGTATGCATTGCTTTAGGCAGTGTATTAGTCCTTTCTCTATTGCTGTGATAGCAACACTGACCAAAGCACCTTATAGAAGGAAGAGTTTCTTTGAGTTTACAGTTCCAAGGGGCAAGAGGCTGGCAGGGAGGCATGGTGGCCGAGGTGGCTAGAGGAGGAACAGAAGCTAAGCTCTTACATCTTCAAGCAGGCACAGGAAGCAAGAGAGTGACTCAAGATCCAGAAAGACTTAAGAACTCTCTAAGCCCACCCCGAGTGACGTGCTTCCTCCAGCACGGCCACACTGTCTAAAACCTCCCAGAACAGCACACCAACTGGGGACAAAATGTCCAAATACTTGGAGCCTATGGGGGACATTCTCATTCAGACCACCACAGTGTCTAATGAATGATAGACCTGGTTTTGGGTAACTCTAGAATTATAACAGAAAATAAGAAGTTTTATCTTTTCTGTTGAAAAGT